TCTCACTCCCAACCTGCCCCCCCTGCCCTGCCGGAGGGGGCCCCCCAGCTGCCCCCCAACACCAGCAGGCACCTGCTCTCCCTCACACCCATTCCTTCCACACGCGTGCGCACACACATGCCCAACAGTTCCCAAGACTTGGCCCTCCAACCCTCACCCCCCATATTCTTACCTGCATCCAGCTGCCAAGGCTGTACCCACTACGCTGCCTGGTTGCCAGCCTGCAAGGGAAACTTGTTGTTTCCTGCAGTTTTCTCCTTTAAAATGGGAAGTCTGTGTTTTTCTCTTTCAAATGAGGAAATCTGTGTTTTTCCACAGCAAATGGAAAACCTGGATCCCTGGTGATCAGCTACTACATTGAGGTCCCTCTCTACCTCAGCCACTTCCAACCAATAAGCATTCAGTTGTAGCAGAAAATTTCTGTTATGAATCCCTGTGAATGACCTTGTATTCTGTACTGTTGAATTTTATCCCCTCCTATCACATGAGTCTCCAGGTCTTCTGGTTCTTTCTGTAAGCTGTCCCAGTCCTTCCTACATTAATAAACTGCCTTTCAACTTTTATTTCATCAGCAGGCTCTTAATTCACCAATTCTCCTTTCAATAGTACTTGCTAGAGTCTCCTTCTGAATCAGCTCCTCACCTGCCTTACAATTTTGATTTCCATCTTCTTCAGCCTAATTAATAGTTTTCTACGTAGTACAGTACCAAATGCTTTACTGATACAGCTTTACTGATCCAGACTGATATCTAGAGTATTTCCATGATCTGGAAAACCTTGTCAAAGAAGTCTGCCTTGGGCAAACACCTATTGCATTTTATCGTTTCTATCAAAATCTGTTCCAATGTTTTGCCTGGTAGGGAGGTCAGATTAACAGGCCTGTAGTTGACTAGATCCCCCCCTTTTTCCCCCTCCTCTGCAACATAGTCAATACATTGCTGTTCTCCATCATTTATCATCACTTTCAAATTGATAGATTTATTAAAAATCCTTGCTATCAGGCCTCCAATTCGGTATGCCAGCTCTTTCAGAATTCTGGGAGGAAGATTATTCAGTGTCCACAGCTTGAGTACATTGCACTCTTGACTCTTGTTTCCACTTTCGTTTCTATTTCCATACCCTTGTTTCCATTTCCCATCTTACTTCTGCTTCCTTGCTGAACAGTATCACCCTTATTGAGAACCAAGGCAAAGTAGCCACTTGATTTTTTTTGTCTATACCTTGACTTTTAATGTCCACCCTGTCCTTGCTGCACAGTGGCCCTAATTCTCTCCTTGTTCTCTTCTTTATATTAACTTAAGAACATTTGGCTGTTTCTTTCAATTTCTTCTCGTGTTCTAACTCAGTTTAACTTTTGGTAATTCTCATTTTCTCTCAGTGCTTTCTGACCACTAAGATGTAATTTTTTTTTAGGGGATCAAGCCTTTTTTCCATTCCTTGTAGGTTCCTTGCTTAGTCCTGCTATTCTCCTTGAGGAGATTATTCATCCAGCTAGTTATTCATTCCCTTTCTATCATTAATTTTCCTCATCCCTTGGGATGTAGACACCAAGAACATTAGCATTTTTGACTTGAGGAAACTAAGTTTTCTCTGCATTCATGTTCCTGATTGCCTCAGTCCAGCTGAGGAATCTGAAAAAGATCTGAAATACCATCACCCCTTGTGGGTTCAGTGACTATTTAATGAAAAAATCTGTTAGCCATCCCATCCAAGAATAACTGAGCCTTACCTGTAGCATTTGTTCTCCAACTTTGTATCTTGGAAGCTAAAGTCTCTTACAAGGATATCATTTTAAATAGTATTGATTTCTAATAACATTAAAGATATCTCTATCCAGATCCAACCTTGGAAAAACCTTCCAGGACTAAATGAGTAGAACCTCATTTGCCATCTGTCCCCAAGATTATTTTGATGCACACAGATGAGTTGTTGTTGTTGTCCCTCTTTATTTTTTAACAGGTTATCTCACAACCGTAACATGCAGTTCTACCCTACCGCTGTTTCCCTTTATTTCTCTCTTACCTGAACAGCTTATATCATTCAGCATCTGTGTTCAAGTCATGATCGTTATTCCCCCATGGTTTTGTTATCCCTATAATGTTCTGTGTCATGTTCTTCACCAATAATTCATCTTTATTTTTCTCATTTTCTTGGCCTGGTCCTTAGTATTACCATATAAACGTTTCAGTTGCTTTGTGGCCCCACATCCTTAGCCAAATCAGGCACAGTACTTGACTGTTGGTCTCATCAATATTAGCATTTTCTTTGCCTTCTGTTTTTGCTACAGTTTATTTGCCACTTATCCTATCTATCCTATCTATCTGGTTTTCCTCCTCCTCTATACTAAAAATGATGTGGAGGTTACAGAAGACTATTCTAGACACTTCCTTAATTTAGTATGCTGTTTAATAACTAACACAGTTTTAATGAGTAATAAAGTTCTACCCTAAGCTAACTGCAGTGTTTTTACAGATCGAACCTTATTTGCCCTATGAATTTACATGCGAGGGGATGCTACAGAGGATGAATGCATTCATTGAGAAACAGGTATGGTCTCTGTTGATTCAATAACCTTCTCTTTTGTTCATGGTCCTCCTGTGATAAAGGACACCTTAGTTTTATTGTTGTTCTGTTTTAAAGAACTTCTGAAAATGCATCGTTTAGCCCCCTGTTTAGTATACAGGTATGGACTTTCCTGCCCCTCAACATACATAGAATCCCAGTGGTATTAGTAGGCTATCATGTGACTGACCTTTCCTGTTAAGGTCACTATACTGGTTTTCCCCTCCTTTGTTCAGGCTTCTGATGGTCAACATAGGTTCTGTGGTTTCTGTTCTGATTTTTCAGTGTTGGGGACACTACCTCACAGCATTGGATGTGCCAACTACCTGTTTTGTTTATTTCTTTCTGCCTTTAAAATATAAATAATGTCGTTACGATGTTTTACTTAATGCAGCATAACTATCTCTGATCTTTTACATTAAACTCCTCCCTATTAAAGTTTCTGGGTCATTTGATTCTCCTACACGAGCCAACTGTAACTGGCAGCTTTCATCAATAGACGAAAATGTGGCTCATTACACAAGAAGTAAAGTGTGATCTGAGGCATGGGTGCCCATAGGCTCTCAAGGAAGGGAGGCCCTAACTTTATTAAGCACTACTATAAAAACAATGCATAATAATATAATTAATTATGTTTGGACTTTACCATCAGAAAAGGCTGCCATTTTACTGCTACCAGAATAATGGAGTATTGCTATTATTTATGTATTTGCTCAGCACTAACATAGTGTCCAGTATTGCTGACAAGGCAGAGAATAAAAGTGCAGATCCCATGCTGGGGAAACTTCAGTGTAGAAGATGGAAACAGACAGGGATCAGATAAAAGCAAGATGTAAACCTCAGAGCATAGATTAGATGAAGTGGTAGAATAAGCTGGGTTGATTGACTTTCAGTGGGGCATGGGTGTGGCAAAAGAAGAGTGTGTTTAGGAAGTTCATAAGAAGGGCTCCAGGAGCACCAGCACAGAGAGGCTGCTCCAGCCACGTGATACAGTAAGGAAGAAAGCAAGACCTGGGGTAATAGAAGAAGGGGACAAAGAGGCAGGAAAGTGCAAAGAGCAAAATGGGATGTCATAAGGAACAAGAACAAGATTAATAACCTAAACTGTAGCTGTCCCACAAACTACCTTATTTCATTCACAGTTAAAGCATTCAAAGGATTATTGTTGTGTTTCCATAGGAAGATGCCGAACAACACTAGTAATTTTGTGTTGGCAAAACAATGGGATTTTTCCTTTAAGGTGCCACATTTAATAGGCTGAAATTTCTGTGGGTGTCTAAAGTTTTTTATATAATGGGGAAAAAATCAGAAAATCCAGTGAATCAAATGTGAAAAGTCAAAGGGAAATAAAAGCTGGTTGCTTCTAATTTGAAAAGAAATTACCCTGTATAAAAGGGGCTGTCAGTTTGTACCTTCCTTTGATGTATCTGCTAATGGCTACTGTCAAATGTGTCTGATCTGGTGATCCCATGTGATAGTTCCTATTTAAAACTCATCTTCTTCTTATCCTATCAATTTGAGTCAGTTAAGCTGGTATAGCCACAAAAAGAAGTTGGGGCTTCTTAAAAACTGCACTTTAGATTAACTTTGTTTTTTTAATAACAGCAATGTTACAAGGTGTGGTAAAGTTTATTCAGCTGGATTCTGAACAATAAAATACTCTATTGCCACAGGATTTCTGTCATGGGCAGGTAATGTGGCCCCCACTAAGTGCACTTCAGGTAAAAATTGCTGAATCTGGGAAATCATGCAAACAAGTTTGTCAAGAAAACCAGCTCATCTGTGAACCTTCCTTCTTCCAGCACCTTAACAAGGACAAGGCGCTGCTAAAGTAAGTATTAAGAAGCGTGGAAATACCAATATATTAAATACAATGAGTGGAGGAAGGGGAAAACAACCTACTGCTAACAGAGGTTTAAAGTTGGATAGTCAAGTATTCAAATCCTGAAGTGCAAAGTTCAGGTTGAAAAGCTAGACCTTAAATTTGAGACTATGCACATACCTTAAAATGCTCTCTTTGTTTTACATTTGTCAATGAACAGGAATATAACTTATCATTTAAATTCACCAGCAGTACATCATTTGCCAAATTACTCCCCCAGTATTTTTCAAACTGTATTTCCTTAGATTTCAGTGAGATCTGGTAACGAAGCCATTTTTCATCTTTCTGACTACAGGCAGTTTTGGTACACTTTATGCACAAAAATGTTTATTTTGAATTTATGCAGAAGTGTGTGTATGCACAACTCGGCACACTAAATAAATTAATCCACCAGCAGAAGCTGGGAGTGAGAAATAATAGTTGCTAAACTAAGCATGGAAAATCACAAGGATTTTATTCAGGAATGTTGAACAATTGTAAAAGGAAGTTGGAACAAAGCTGAGCATTAGGGCTAAGTGCAGATGGTCAAAAAGCCCCAGACTGAATAGATTCAATCTTCACAGGTTAGTTTAAGCTGCATAGAATTAACTGATAAGCAAGTGAACAGACATTCACTTCTGATTCTAGAAATGCAGCTACATGCCTGTAGTGGCCCAGGCCCAAAGCTGGGGGTCGCTAGAACACACCCCCTGTTTGGCTGGAGCAGATAGCTTGGGCCAAGGCTAGCACACCCTCTTTGCGAAGGGGGCTTGCGAGGGAGGTGCAAAGCATCTTGGGATGCTGGGGGACTGAGAGTTAACTTGAATTTGGAGGGAATCTGGACGGAAGTTCCATAAACCGATTAACCTAAATCAGTTAGCTCTGATGCTACATCCATCCAGTTTTATCTTAAACTGGTTTTGGCCACTTTGAAAGCGGTTTTTGTGCACTGAACTTCTGTTCCGAATCCCCTTCCTAACTTGGCACCCGGGGCTCATGCCCTTCTTGCCCACCCCTGGTTACACTACTACAGCTTGAAGTGGTGGGGAGTAGAGGAAGCTGCTAAATGCTGAGCTTTCTTCCACCCTGCCCTTGCTTTACAGCTGGGGGTTTGTTCAATTCAGGGAGCACAGTTGTCTGGATTATAATCACCCAGAGTAAGTTTGCAAAACCTGGTATCCCTCCACACTTACTCCTTTTAACATTGAATTTCCTTGGATTGGGGTGACCCTCAAAGCTAATCTTCATGTTGGTTGTGGGGGGGAGAAGATGGAGGAGCACGAGGGATTCTGGAATCAACATTTTTGCAATAAAATAATCCATACACGTAATCTACTTTGCATTAGTTGTTCATGCAGTTTTCATTGAAAGCAGTCTGTATAAAAGTTTGCTTATCTTTGCATTTTCTTCATCTCTCTCTGACTCTAGATTAATTCTGATGCTTGCTTATTCACTGACAAATAACAATTACCAATTTTGCAAGCCCTTTGTCAGTAACATCCTAGGTATGCAGGCTCCCCTAGTCCTTTCACATTAGAGAGTTAGGAGCAATTTGGAATGCTTACCAGCTATGCATTAGGGTGTTGTCTGCTTGCAGGTTTCTTTCGATGATGATTTTATAACGGATGATCAAATGATTCAAAAGCTGCACGATAATGGATGTCTCTAGGGAGTTTGCTGGCTGGGTTTGCAAATCCCCATTTCCTAGTAAATTTACTACAAAGCCCTTGTTTTTTATGGATGTGACACATCTTGTAGCTGCAGTTTCCTAGTGAAAACCAAAAGAAACCCATACATGTGGAAACCCTTTTAGCCTGTGGCTGTCGGTCAGTCGTCTGACGCTTACTAGTTCTTAAAGTGCCTAGACAAAACTGGGGGGGGAAAATTGTTAAATTTTGAAAACTAGGGGTTCTTCCTGACCGATTAAAAGCTTACATTTACTCACCATGTTAGTTTAGGTACCACAGTTATTTCTTGGTCTCAGAGAGACCCACAGTTACCAGATAGTGGCCTGGGAGATAACAATTGATTTGTTTAATGTCCCTAAGTTTTGTGGCCATAAAATGGTTAACTTTTTCTGTTTTTTTCAATATCTTTTATATGCACCCCTGAATGTAGTTCCTTTTTCCTGATTCATACACTGCTTGTGTGGCATGAAATAAGAGTTCAAATTTGTTATATTTTTCTCATGGTTAAGAGAAACAAGAAAACACCCTCTATACAAAACTGACCTTCTTCAAGAACTTCAGGTTGTATCGGTTATAAAGAGGCCAGCAGCTACTCTAATTAAAGTGCCCCACCTCCCACCACATGTATAAACACCCAAAGGTTTACTTCTGGGTCACTGGTTTGAACAAGACTTTAGGTAAAGAATCGTAATTGCTGTTCTTGTATAGAGTTAATTCTGCATAATAGTCCTATTACTGTATTTACCCAGCTGCAGTTGGTCTCTGCTGTGTTTAAATGAACAGAAACACTCCCCCACAAATGTTTTTTTCTGCAGTGAGGTTCAGTATTTAAAAGGAGAAAAGAATATGATGCATAGGTGCCTGTCCTAATTTTTATTCTAGTAAGGCCTGACCCAAAGACCAGTGAGGCAAAAAGAGTCTTTCTGTTGATTTCAACTGACTTTGGCTTCAGGTTCCTAATGATTTCATCTTACTAGGATTTCTAGATATTTTAGGATGATTTCATTTGACTTTGGGGGATGAGTGAGAAACAGTATTTTTTGTTTTTCTCTTTCTCATATTTATCTTCAGTAAACAGAAAAATAAAGCTAAAAAAGGCTGCACTGCCCTCTAGAGAGTGTCCTGTACTTAAAACACTGACAGGCAGAAATAACTGCTGCATGTTAGGATGCCAGGAGTGTACAATTCTAAACATATTTGAATTATTCACCATAACGGTTTTGCCCATTTTGGAGTTTACAATAGCATGCATCAAAGACACTGAAAGCATTTTATGAATAACATAATTTGAGTACAAAGATGTAGAGTACACAAGAAAAATGGGTTCTACACAGAATGAACTGGAGGTTGATATATACACTGAGAAATGGGGAAATAGGGAGGCAGCATTCGAGAGTCTGTTGAGAAGGATTATTGGACTAAATGTTTTTAATCTGTACTACAGGATCTGAACATTATTTTGCTAAATTTCTGGTTCTCTGTTTTTGTGTGACTTTTCCATTCTTAGCACTTTACTGAATTAAGCACCACCTACATATTGCCCAATGTATGTTGGCAAAGAAATTGAGATTTCATAATCTCACCCATTTGATTGAAATAAAAAGGTAATAGAGTATATCACAAAATAAAACTACTCTGCTTCCTCCAGGCTGTGGACATGATTGGAATTTTTTTTTGTCGTCTGGGGTCTTTGTCTTAACTTTGTATTAAGAGTGCTGCCAGACTTTTACTGCCTGAAATAGAAGGTTTTTATAGTGTTAGTCGATAACAGGAAATCCTATCCAGTTCCCAGCAGCAACAGGAGGTTTCCTTTTCCTTGGACCACAGGGAAGTACAATTACAAATCTTTTCTTTCTCACTGACTGTGGCTAAAAGCAGTCACTGTGGGCACAAACAAAAGTGACATTTTTTGCATGATCTGACCCTTGAAAGCACTCTACAGCCATTGCATAAAGCATGTGTACGGCTGCAGAGTGCTTTTAAAATGGCCAATCGCATGAAAAATTAACCCTCATTAAATCAGGTACTAAATGAAGGTGCTCAAAATTAAAGCACCTTGGGGAACTTCTGTGCAGTTCCCTGCGAGGGTTAAGTGTCATACTCCTGGAGTGCCAGAGGGAGCAAGGAGAGTTCAAGGAGTCTCAGCGGGCTGCCTGTCTGCCTCCATGTGGGCAGGGGCAAGGGTGGTAATTGAGCCAGCGACCAAAGCTGTGGGGCCCCTTGCTGGTTCCCCCCCAGGGGGAGGATCTGTGGTGCCTGCTGGCCCTGGCTCATGGGGTGCAAAACCACCCAGAGTCCTGCCACCTGCGCTGGCAGCTGGCCAGGGGCTTCTGAAGCCCTGACCAGCTTACAAAGTAGGCAGTAGCACCCCCTGCTGCTTGGCCTTTGTCAGTGCATGGAGGCAATGAGCCCCCATGCACAGGAGCGGCACATATGTTAGGTTTCCACGATGCCGTAACTTTAAGCACTCTGTGTAAAGTGCAAATAATGACAGTGCGATCAAGGTGCCCTTTATAACTTCTGTAAGCACCATGTGTGATCTGTAGTTTCCTGCTTTTATTTGGCCATGTTTAGGATACCCAGTCGAATTCAGGGAATTTTGGTATTAGGACTGGGCAAAGATTTAAAAAAAAAAAAAAAGTCAAAATTGTGATACTGACAATGGTCTTGTTTTTTTCTTTTCTTTTTTTCTTCATGTAGGTATAACCTTGAATGTCATACTGTTGAATCGGCAAATGATATCGTTGTCCCCTCTTTTGATGAAAGAAGGAAACACTGCGTTTTTCAAGGAGATCTTTTGCTGTTCAGCTGTGCAGGGTCCCATCCAAACCACAAAAGAATCTGTCCTTGCAGAGACTACATAAAGGGACAGGTTGCACTTTGTAAAGACTGCCTATAGCAGCAGCAGCACACCTTGTTTTTCCTTGGGGACAAGCAAGTGGTTTTTGAGAGAACTACTTACACTTCCTGCACTTTTGTTCAGATGTCTAGCAGTAGGCAGAGCTCCCGCTGCAGCACAGAGTTATCTGCAAGGAGAGAGGGGTCATGATGAACAGCAAACTGGGGTTTATTTTATTTTTTCTAAGCAAACATTTTCAAAATCCTTTCATCTACTCAACGAGAAGAGAAAGGAAGTTCTATGCTTTGTAATGATTTAAAGATGATTGCAAAGAACAATTTGTAGGAAATCCCCAGCCCCATCAAACATTGTTGTTGGTTTTGAGTGAAATGAGTTTTTCCTTTTTTTTAAATGAGTTAGAACATCCCTTCATCGTTTGCTAAGAACCCAAACATCATTCCAGTAGAAAGTTGAAAAAAGTATGCTGGGGGGTGGGTAGGACTTAATTTATTAAAGGTGCACTGTTTTGGGTGCTGCTTCAGCTTCAATGCCTACAAAATGGTGCATTTCTCAAGAACTTGGAACCACAAGGAAACCCAAGTAACAAGAGAGATAACTGTCTGCTCCCAGTTCTTTTTTAATCTTTGCATACTACAGGATATTGTCTGCATCACAGCTACTGTACTAGAGCAGTCTAAACAGAGAGCACCGTGAAGAGGAGGATTGGTGGCTGCCAGTTTGTGGCGCATCCTGGTAACTTGATAACTGACTTTGGTTGTGGCGGTCCTTGGTGCTGACCAGCCACTGACATATACTGCCATTTAAAAATGGACCCGTTGTCACAGTTTACTGGTCCCATTTAGAGAACGATCCTTGAAACTTGTTCGTGCTTCTGTTGTAGTCTGCCTATTAGAAATACTGTGTGAAGCAAAAAGTATTCAGCATCATTTGAGCAATATTATTGTTAGACCCTCAGTTTGCTATACCTTAAAATAGTTAAAACATTACTGAAAGACATAGAACGGTCAACTAAACTAACTATAATTATTGTATGATAGAAATGTAAAATGTCTTCATAACTAGTTAGGTTTTTAAAGAGAAAGATGTTTGAACAGCAATTGAGAGAGAGAGAGAGAGAGAAATGACTGCTAAGAAAAAAACATTGATCTCTTTTCTTGATTCTTTGTAATTTTTTAATAGGCAGGCCAGTGATATATTTAGAAGCTGCATTTCATTATCAAAAGTTTGGATCCAAATTCAAACTTTGCTTGTTTAGAGCAGTGAGCTAAATCTTTTAAAAAAATAAAATGCCTCTTTTTTAAGAGTAAACTTTTTGCAGCACAAGCTGACATGTTTGAAAGCACTCTCCATGGCTGGGAAAAGAGACATTAAATTAGTGGGAAATGAATGCTGAGTCGGTCTGCAGTGAGCAAGTAGGATTTGAAAACGATCATAGTTTGTAGGTTTAAAACTTGGATATGCTCCGACCATAATTGAAAACCTCAGTTTGATATCTTAATGCTTTTTTGTGAAGATTTATCAAGCATTGCCCAGTACTTCCACTAATGAAAACATAGGCACTTTAAATTTTCTTTCCTAGACTATATCAGGTTCACTCATTCTTTTGTATTTGGCATTCATTATGTGTGTATGAGTATTGATATGTCTCTTGACCTACCAAAGACCCAAAAAGGGAAATGCTATTGAAACTGTCAGACAAATTATCATGACAAGCCTATAGAAAATTAGAAATGCAGTTTCCCATTTAAATGTAATCATCTAATTATTCCAAGTGCTTTTATATTTCATAATTCAACACTCTTAATGCCATTATATCATTATACAGATAGTGTGGATTAGACAGAAATTGGATCCTAAATTATTTTTCAGTACCCAGAAAAGCAATATGAAATGTGTATGCACAGAAGGGTGCATCAGTGACTGCTTTGGGATCATTCCTTGTTGTGAACATCCCTTAGTTTATTTACCAGCAGGCCCGTTCTTTTCCAGAAAGAAAAAACTAATAGACTTATCCAGGATCATTCTTGTTGGCACTCCCTCAGCATGAACACCACTTGTGATGGCTGTCTTAGGACTAGAATCTGAAAAGCTTCCAAAAATTCATTTTAATTGTTTAAAAAGTTCCCCATGTGAAAGGTAGCAACAGGAGTTGTCTTTCCTGATGCTTCCTCAGGCTTTTCAGTTACAGTGTAGTAAGTTAGAATGGGATGTGACATTGGTACTTTGACAGCAAAGGTGGTGGGGGACGCATACGTATGTATTAATGCAAAGCACTCTTGTTTACTGTTATGTAACGATTAGAAACCATTTGCTGTAAATAAACATTCCCTTGGGTTCTGCCAGGTTAAGAAACGTAGGGCAGATTGTCACTTATTTTACCTCTAAAATTTAAAGACGCCTAATTTTTTTGCTAGTCTGTTGCAATTTCCACTGCACTATGTTGTCCAATAATGTAGCATGATGTGTGCAGCCTCTACCACAGCAGAAGAGTCTGTGATCTCTGTACTTTCATGCAATCCATCTTTGTATTTCTGCTGAATCAAGTTACTGGATATTGGTAAATGAAAAAGCCAAACCAAAACCTGTCCATCCAGTAACAGGAATCAGTATGATTTGAACACGATGAATAATCACTAGGACCAGATCATAGTTCTACTGATAACACTGAGAGTTTTGTTATTAACTTCCCTTTATCTTTCAAGAGCTTTATTTTATTATTATTATTACTCCTAAGACATGCAGGATATGAGCTTTCTGGTCAGGAGTAAGTCCTCTTACAGTGTGCAGCTTCTGTTTAATTTTCCATAAGAGAAAATCTATGGGATCATGGCAAACATGTCCTTTCCTTCTACCAATAGATAACCTTTGTGATAAAGTTGTGCTTTGCTCTATAGGCGTATTGGAAACCATTGTTTCCACAACATTTAATTCAGTACTGATGCAGTGAATAAGATACTTTTTTTAAGTGTGTTGTTTGTCTTTAAATGTATAAGCAAATGGGTTCTAGTATAAAATAATATCATTCCTCAAGTGGCCAGGCAAACCAATAAGGGATTATTTTACAAATTATAAAGAGTTTAGTAAATTAAAACAAATTTGTATCACAACTTAAATGAAAACGGGCAACTCTACTGCCTAATCCCCATAAACCAAACAGACTTTCTGGGTTTATATAATATAGAATAATTGTATAATCCAAACATTGCACTTGCATGAGGACTTTCGGATTATCTGTTGTTATTACACAGGTGAAACTGCATTGATCTATGGGTTTCACCTTCTGACACTACAGTTTGCAGCTTCCTTATTCAGAATTCAGGTTTTGCAACACTTGGTTTGAATATAATGAGTGATAATTGATGGAAATCAGAGGTTTCAACACTTAAGTATATAAACATATCTGCCATAAATCAAAAACATTTTGGGATTGAAAATCCTGTATTTTTATACATAACCTGACTTTTCAAAAATCTTGTTCCTACAAGATTAGGAAACTTAAGAAAACCATTTACGTAATTTATTAAAATTAACATAAAAGGCTTGCCTTCGAAAGGTAAAGTTGGTAAATACACACTGTTTAAAAATGCCAATAAAAACCTCATTTTTTCATATATGCAAGTTGATTTGCACATGTATAAATAGATACGCTTTTTTGCTTTCATTTTTTTCCTTTAATTTTCTTTGTGGTTGCTGGTCTTTGATTCTTTTTTGTAATTTATAGTTGTAATTACATATTGCTTAATATTTGCTCCACAGATATTTAATGTTTATGTGCCTTTATTTAACTCTGTTGGATGGATGTTTGGCATGTTGGCACTGTCTGAACAAGTATAATGGAACACTCATTTTAGGGTAAAATATACCGTGTTGCTGCATAAATACTATGGGAGGCTCTTTGAGATATATAAAGAAAACAGTGCTGTAACCTTGTCACTTTTGCAAATGACCATTTCTGTAAACAGAATATCCCTTGCTGAAACTGTTGGTTTGATGGGAGTACTCCTAGGTGAATGCAGTAGCTAGATAAAGTCCCTTTGTTTAATGGCCATCAGGTAAGAGGAGGAGACAGTGGTGAGCAGGAAATCTCTACTGAAATTGCCAAATGTATTGTTAAGGAAATTGGAAATGTGCATTAACACATGGGAGGTGCTCAGGTATTTAGATATACCCGGGAGGTGCTCAGTCAGAAGTAGCATGATACTAGGAACACCATGAGGCCTATTCTAGCTCCACTCCTGACTGTGCATCTGGCTCAGTCATTTATTGCCTGATTTTTTCAGTTACTGAGCAATTGCAGCCTCCATTGACTTAACCAAAGCCCAGCTTGTTCACTTGTGTGTCTTCACCTGTACCAAGAATGTCAAACACATGGCCCACAAGCTGGGTTGGGCCTGCAGAGCCACTCTGTTCAGCCCCGCAAACTATCAGCGTGGTTAAGGGGGATGGCCTGTCACAAAATCCAGGGCCTAAACGCCGAAGTGGACGTGATGATTGGCTGCAGGAGAATGAGCAAAGGCTGATGGTCCCAGTTGCCTTCCGGCCACTTCACCCACCCACATTGCTGCGGTCCTTGTTCCCTGGCCGCTGGCTTGTGCCACATGCCCAGGGCTGGAGCTAGAGTCACTGCCACAGTACAGGGCATGTAGATCCGGCTCTGACTCCAGCATCGGGTATGTGACAAGGGCTGAAGCCGCTGCTGCTTGCTCCAGGTCAGAGCTGGAGCTGCCGCTGTCTTGTGTTGTGGGTCAAAGCTGGAACCTTCATCACTTTACAGCTTCCTTGTGCCCTGGTCTGGATCAGGCCTGCAAGGAGATGTGCAGTCCAGATCTGACCTAGGGCACCAGGTGAGTTTTGACACCTCTGCCCTGTACAATGGGCTCCTGATTCCATCTCTAATTTTCTTCCTTGACCTGCTGGTATGAGTACTAGTTTATAGTCCACTTTGAGAATATAGGGCATGGCAGCTGACCTGCTAGTGGTCTCCCTTCTTTTAATGGACTGACTGACCTAAATTATAGGCATTATAAATTTACACCTGGGGGATTAACAGATACAACCTGAAAGTGTGTTTTCACCTATGTCTAGCTCAGATTGCATTATTTTAGGGCCACATTCAGGTCCCTCAAAGTCAATGTCATGTATTTTTAAGGAATCTGAATCAGACCCTTTATAGTCTGATCAGCATCATTAACTTCATGACTGGCCTCAGTGGCATTTTGATCCCACTTTTATTCAGCTTTATTCAGACTAAGCAAGCAGCTGTTTGCTTTTAATGGGTTGGAGACCAGATGTGATTAAAGATTCATATTCCTCTTTAGATAAAGGATGAACACTATGAACCTGGCTACACCTGCTGATTTAAGGCGTATTAAGGACGTGCGTTTACACGTGTGTGACCTTAATGTGCCTTGAAAAACAGTGATTTTAGGATATCGGTGCCTAAATTTGATACCTGCAAAAGCAGGTATCAAATTTAGGCACAAATAGCTAAAGCACATTAATGCATGTATAGAGGCGTTAAGGCACATTAACGCTGTGTATGGACTGACGTGGGACTAACTTTAGACACAAACCTAAATCACCTTAATGCACCTTAAATTTAGGCATGCCTAAATGCATGTGTAGACATACTCTATAAGTCACTTTTATCAATGACAGGCTCTCTTCTGCACATATCAGTCTCTGCCAGTTCTGCATGGCTGTCTGCTAGCAGTTATCTTACTGCAATGATATGTTGTTTGTTTAAACGTTTATAATTGTTTAAAGCTATTTAAGTTTTTTTTGGCAATCTGTCTGTGTGTGTATATTTTGGTTTGTAAAAAAGAATATCAGATAACAGGTTCTTGCTATAGCCTTCAGCGAAAGAGATGTGCTGCTGTAGTTAGCTTAATTCAGATGTCCTGGTACAGCATTGGTTGCTGCTTTGTGACATTGGCCAAGAGCTGTTATGCTTTCAACTCTTAATCGGTTGATCCTTTTTGCTTCTGGTTCCCCTTTGTTCCTATTTTCCTATCGAGGGATCAAAAACCCAGAGAACGTGGTGAGAATTTTTTGGCCTCAGCCTGTTTGGCAACAGGTCACTGCAACCTGGGAAGGCTCTGGAAGCCTTTAAACTAACTTACTGCTGTAAAACCAACTTTAAAATGTACTGATTTTTATCTCTGTTGCTTACAGACTTTTAGCAGATTCAGAGGGGTTTTTTTTTAAAAACCTTAAATGTAATATTGAATAAGAATATATAAACTCGCTAGAGGAAATACATATCACAGTGGCTGAATCCAGCATTGAGTTATCAGTCCTATCCTTGCTTATAAAGATAAATGTCCTGACACACTTCACCCAGCAAGGAACTCTCATTTATAAATCACTTGTTTTAACTCCTTTGTAATTAATACATTTAAAAATACAAACCACCTTCCTCAGGTCTTAGGAAGAAACAAGCTTTTGGGCACAAGCTTTTTGGGCATCTGTCTCACTTTTCTCCCACATATACAGTTGGTCAAATAAAAGATATCTCGAACGAACCTTTGCCCCTTAAACATTTCCCAGACCATCACTGCTATAGCAACACCATAACCCTGCGACCGCTAGAAATGTGAGTAACACTTCAGTTGGGCTCAGAAGACTTACCGCAGCCATTCATGAACTCTCTCTTCATTTGATTGGTGCAACTGTCAGGTGTCACATCCCCAAATTTACTCTCCATTTAAGTCACACGCAGTAGTGACTAACCTCTGTGTTCTGAACACACGAGTGTTTAAAAATACCCTTTTACTGAAAACTGTCATATCCTTTCCTTTGCTATCTTATTTCTACAGGTGGTCCGGACTGATCCTGCATGCCCAATTGCATTAAACCGAGTTATGCCTGTGAGTGAAAGCCCCTCACGTACAGTGCTTACAGGATCACGTGATTATGTTCTAGCAGTAGTGTTATGGACCCTGTGCTCTTTCCATTTGACATTAATGGCAACATGACTGATTTCTCTGAAAGGAGGATTACGCACAGCATGGGCCCAGATCTGCTGTAACCAACTCCTGACTAGCTATGCATCAGGGCCTTAATCTTGAAGAGTATGAAGTGTTCTAGCCTAACTCAGCAAAACACTTGAGCACAGTCTTGATTTTAAGTATATGACTAGTCCTGCTGACTGCATACGTTGGGGCTGCTCAGATGCAAAACGTTAAGCCCAGTCTGCTGGATCAAGCAAGGTCAGCATGCTAAGTAAGGCTCTTGAGAGATCAAACCCCAGTTGACCAGAAAATCAGCAGGCCCAAATTCAGTCCAGCTTCCTCTCCGTTAACATCAGCATGGTTACATCAGTAATGTTCTGCATTAATTATCAACTTCATTAATTGCTGATAAAACAAAAAACCTTAAACATGGTTACTGCTATCTTTGTTTTTTTCCCTGTAAGATACAGTGAGGGAAAAAGGAAATACAGTAATGTCTGAACGGTAAAGGGCAAACTTGCCATGGGTGGAAATGTTACCTTCAGGGTTCTGAGGTGTTAAAGGAAATGGCAATGAAAGGTGTAAATTTAAGATACAAACTGGAGAATTTGGTTCTGGACAGATTTTAGGGGCCTAATTCTTCCATCTTTGCGATAAACCTTAAAGTCAGTGGAAGACTTGCATGAAGAAGGAAACTTCAGGGTCAGGCTCATACCAGTGTGTTTTATTCTGAATCTGCTCTTTCGAGGTGTATTTCTTTGCTGTTCTAAATGGCTGTGTTCCACTATATGAAGTTCAAGCAGTTTGATTCTGAAAGACAGACCGCAGTGCTCAGTATCGTATTGTCAAGTGACTGAGGTTCAATAGGAGGGGATTCTTTAAAAACACAAAAGTAAATGTCTGTATTTTAATGGCATAGAGCAAATGCTTTGTTTTCACTGTTGTAGAGAAAACTAGGGAGAACTTTATTTTTCAATAAACTTTTATTGTGTGATTTGGATTGGTGATTTTGTTTGTGTTTGTATTTAAATAGGAATTCCATCAGTTGCTGTTTTGGGAGGACTCATTGCACCAGCATGACTTCCCCCACTGTAGTCTGCCGGCTGGCCTCCTTTGAATTAGTCCCTCTCTCTCCAGACAGGAATGAGCTGCAGCAAACACTATTATATCTAAACAGGTCCTGGTAAATGGAAAATGAATTACTCAGGTTGGTGGTCATTTGGATGCAGAGGTAGAAAATCCAGATATTATGAGTTAACACAAAACAAGCTAATCATACCAATTGAAAAGATCTCCTTTCAATTGCCACTTCAGTAGTGAGTGCTCAGTTCTTGAAGGGCTGCCAGATCACAAGTGTGGCAACCCAGTTAGTGTTAATAAGGGAGGTATTTGCTGACACAAAGCAAGTGCTTCTGAAAGAGGGTTTGCGGTGTCTTGCATAAAATAGCAGGGGTTTTTTCTGAAGGGGAAGAAAGATGTATGTGAACTCCAGGAGCTCAGTTGTTCTTACATATTGTTAATGCTGTATTTTCTCTTCTGGTAATCAATTAAATGAGAAACTGAGCTTGGCCCCTCTATATGTGCAAGTAAAGGTGCAATAGGATCTAATGAGTGATCCGCACAGTTGCACCTCCTGCCATGCCACATATGATTGTGGGATTGTGCATTAGATCCCACTGCACCTTATTGCTGGTGCAGGGGGAACCCAATCATAGGTTCCTTCTACATGGGCAAGAAGCAAGCTCCTGTGGCTGGGAGCCCCCTCAGCTGTGGGGGCGCCCCATGCACTCCTGCAGCTGGGAGACTGCAGCTGCTGTGATGCCCCATGCACCTCTGGGACTGGGAGACTGCAGCAGCGCCTCACGGCTGCCAGGACCCAGGGCTGACAGTCTCCTCAGCTGCCGAACGCCCAGCCCTGGCCAGGCATGGTGCACCCAGTCAGCTGACAGTGTTCCCAGCTGCAGGGGCAGACACTGCTATACATGCAGATTAAAGCTGGATAGCAACCAGCTATGAAGTTAGTACACATTTTCCAACAATAACTTTGCAGCTTTTTATGGTACAACAGTTAGTTTGCACATGTAACCAATATATATTAATTACACAATTAACCCAGTAATTGCATGATACATATAACATATAGAGGGAGCCCCTTGAGAATTTGGGCCATGTTTTTGGCTGAATAAACAGCCATATCTCCGTCAACTTCAGTGGAGCTTTCCTTAGTTCATTAGCTGAGGCTCTAGCTCCTTTTGTCTAATTTTGCACGATATCAAGAATCACTACTATTAGGCCATTCCTGTGTTTTAAGGGACTGAATTTAGTACAGAAGATAGGTGCAAAATGAATGGCCATGGAAGTTGGGCCTCCAGAGACGTGCTCAGCACAATCTATCCATTCTGCAAGATGCTTCTAGTGCCTATTCACCCCCTCAGCTTTATCTGCCCTGCTGCTGAGGTGGTAGTTCAGTCCCCAGTCCTTTTCACTCCTTGCCAACAGGTCAACATTGTAGGGATTCGGGGGAAAAGACTACAAAGTCCCATTTTTTTCTGGCCTCCAGCTTTGTTCCACTGGTATGTGAACCTTAACAGACAAGAAGGTTTGGCTAGGTTTTCTCTCTCTCTCTAATTTCCTTCTCTTTGCCCAACCTGAATTCCCCACTGAATGCTTGTTCCTTCTTTCATCTTTTTTCTTCCCTCCATGAGACCTCCTCCACCTTTCCCCTGCCACAGGAGTTTTCTTGTAAATGCATAATCCAGCAAGCAGGCCATACAAGATGTAGAGCAATGGTTCTCAACCTTTATAGACTCAAGGTACCCCTCATTAGCTTCAAGACACCCCTCGGAAATGCCAGCTCTTAGCTTTCATTTGTTTCTTCGCTACAGAAAGATAGCAGAGCGATTCAAAGAACTCAGAATGACCCCAACAGGTCAGAATGTTTTTGACACTGTGGATTCCTATTTAAAATCTCTGGGTTTATCTTACGAATTACGTATAGGTGTTTGCACACCTGAAAGTGCTAATATTGCACAGCACCCTATGGCACCCTCCCCTCCACTCTAGGGTGCTGTAGTGCCCTAGTTAAGAACAGATGTGGAGGATAACCTGGTTATTTGTAGCAATGGTCGTGCAGAGCATGTGTTGACTTGCATTAAACCTCAGAGAAGCAGAATTAGGTTGGGAGAAGTGATTTAATGTTCTGAATGTGTGGGCAGGGAAAGTTGCTTTCCCTAAACTATGTTAGAAGCTGCCAGGGTCTCTGTTGCCCTACTGTTCTTCCAGATTTAATTATAATTCAGTTAAAATTTGCTGACAAGAAATAGCGTGGCACAATGTACAGATTTTTGTGATGCCAGGGTATAGTTAAATTGCAAACTCCAGCACTTGCAACTGGTGGCATGTCCTAGTTAAGCCTAGGCAGCCGACAAGAGAGGGAATTGTGTGATATCTGCAAGTTGTCACCTGGTTTTTCAGTCTGGCTTCAGCGCCTCAGCCGCGTGTTTTAAACATTAGTTATATTAAGCAGTTTAGTATGTTGAGGCTGCATGAGCACATGATGTCTTTCTGCTGCAGTTCCCTGGCCCTGCTCTTCCAAGTACCTTTTGTACCGGAAAGTGCTTGCTATTTCAGTCAAGAAGCACGTGTGCAGCCCTACAGGGTCAGACCTCTTGTTCCATCTCTCCTTGGCCTGCCCCCTGCTCTTCCAGATTAAAACAGATGGGAAAGTAATCATGCGTGTTCCTAGTACTGGCCATCAAAGTCTCTGTGCCAAAGCACTAACATCTGCCAGCATCCCATGAATCACTAGGGAGCACTGTTTATTCCAACCCTGTCAGCTAGATCTAGAAATGTTTTAACCCTTTCATTTCCCACCTGATTTCCACCCCCCCTAAATTGTTCTTCAGCTTTCAACAGCAGGCACAGGCTTCTGTGAGATGGTGGGGAATTGCAGCTGGATACAAAGTCAGTTCAGCTTCAGCCGTGGTCCAAACTCATAACAGGAAAAACAGGCGAGAGCAGGCTCTAGGGTAAAAATACACATTATCATAGAGAAGTAGAAGGGGCCTCCAGATATGATCTAGTCCAACCTCCTGCCTGAGGCTGGATCTTCCCTATCCAAACCATCTCACGCAATCCATAATCTAAACTCCTTGTAAAACTGGTGTCAATCCTAACACAATACGAGACAAAACACCCTAACCTACCCAGAGGTAAAGCAGGGGGACCACAGAAGTGGTTCAGGATAGCTGCAGAACAGCAACTGCACAAGTCTGTTAATCAGATTTTAAAGGGTACATATTTGAATTTTGCCTTGTAGTTTCCCTGTCACTGGTTCCATCTGTGGGTTTAACACTGCCGGAATCCCATTCAGTGATGCCCTTCCTCCAAATTCACACAACCTCCCCTTCCCTGTGCATCAGGGATGAGGCATCTGAGTGCATTAGATCCCAGTGACCATCGGCAGCAGGGATTTTCCTTGTTGAATTCCTTAACTTGCTAATTTTGCTAAATGAACTACCACCACTCTTGTCCCCAGGTGAGCCTAGTTCCATGTACTGCTTGTCTAAAGTGGGGCGAGAGCAGCTATGGCAGCCCCCTCGGCCCCAGGTCAGCTGGGAACAGCAGCAGTGGTAGCGGAGGAGGGGAGGGAAGGTGCTGCTGAGCATGAATTTGAAGGAAGTGTGCGCTCAGGAGTGAATTCTTACTTGCCTTCTAAACAAAAAAAAAAATATCCCTGGTTGCTGCTCCAACAACCTAGTCTGAAAGGAAAGGGCGACCACAGCATAACACCCGTTTGAGATCTGCCTCTTGGTGGGCAGTGGCACCTCATGGTTGATGCCATGTCTTGAACTTCAATCTTGTGACTGCAACAATATTCCCAGCGCTTACCTTAGAGGGGAAATGGAGGAGGAATGGCTTCCTTGACTGCCTGCTACTGATTAATCACTGCTTGCACTTAGCCTTCTCCCCAGAGCTACCTGCCAGGACACAGGACTGCCTGCCTTAGGAGCAGAACGCATTTCACTCTGCTGCTTTCCAGTAAATATTGTGCTATGCAGAAAAATGTTTTTTCATAGCATCGCTTGGTGGCAGCAGAAGCGACACAGTGAGATGAGCAGGACATGAATGGTGCTGGAAGTAAATGATAGAATAAAACTTTCTGCATCTTCTGGTTGAATATTTCCAGACAATGGCTGTCTGATCACCAAGCATATTGCTTTATTGTTGCCTCGCACTGATTCTAGCAGAAACTGCCCGGACAAACAGCCTCCCATTCAACATGCCATCCTAGGAGACTTGAAAACTGGAAACCAAGTCAATTCTTGAGAGAGATGCTGGACTGGTAGCCTAGGAAATATCCAGCGCCAGATCTGATCCTGATTCCCTGTACTGCCTATCGCTGGACTTTCTGGTTAAGAGTGAGTCGCACTCATTCGGTGCTTTAGTACCTGTGCTGATGCTGCCAAATAGAATAGTGCCTTATGTTATAGGAACGGCTGCTGCAGGCCACCCTACAAAGCATACATCCGGATCCAAACCTCCCCAGGCTTGGAGGAACTTTGTATGCAGTTTCTATAAGGAGAATCCCCACCTTGTGGCTTATAGCACATAAGGCTTATCTGCAGCTTTCAAACCCTTGCTAAAAGTAGATCAAAGTGAAAGATGGAACGAACAGACACAGGATAATACTAGCGCAGTCATTTTCTGGGAAGAGATTTGGGTTAAAATTTGGCTTTAGGGCAAAATGAGGTTGTAAAAGTAATTTTCCCTTTGGTTACTTCATTGTTAAACAGGGCTAGCACTTGCCTATCTCACAGCAGGTCTTCTGGGATCGAGCTGTTCTTCAGCTGTGGTAACGTTCAGTAGGTGTCGTCTGGGGTCTCACAGGCAACGAGGCAGTATCACACAATTGCTGCACAGTATAACATTGTTTGCAGCCTCCACCCGGGAGAATCCATATCAGACCCAGACCATCACTTTCTGATGTTTCTTTCCAGTCTTGGTAAGGAGATGAGTAACATCACTCTGACTGCTGCTTCTTCCTAGCTCACATAGTCCACTAGTCATATGGAAGCCAACATTTCTTTGTCCTTGAATGCAATTTTTCCCTAGGATCTTCTTGAACATTTTGTATTAGCAACTTACTCCATCAGTTCATGGTCAACACAATGCACTTAAAGGGTGATGTTTTTCAAAAGCATTTAGTGATTGCATGGTAGAAGTCCTGGAAATCTTGTGCTTCTAAGCTATTCAGGCTTTTCAAAATTTCACTTTTTAAATTAGCGTAAATGAAAGAAGACACAAGGTCTGGGTTTGTTTCATAACCCTCGGTCAGGTGTTTGCCCTATAATTTCGAGGTAAAAGAAATACAATCAACAAGACTGTTCATACTGGTAGCACTGCTTACTGTTTACTAGCAGTAATTTTTTTTTAATTCCTTAAAGAATCCATTAGCATTCTTAGTCATTGCTCAATAAATGCAACCCGCTAAAATAGTTGGAGTGCTAGAGACAGACTGTAAGAGGGCTTGGTTTGATTTCTGAATAGCAGAACTCTGCATCACGGCTGCACTGGCTTTTACCTCTTAAGGCCCCACTTATCGCAAGTGTTTCTATAATGTTCTTGTATTTACTTGCTAATGAATAGCTATTGAGTTCTTGATGATAGACTGGCCTTTAACACATCTATAGTAATCAAAAGCTGCTGGAATTAGTTTAAATTGAATAATACTACTTGAGGATTGATTATTCATTTTGGTGGATGAGTCAGACCTCTCATTTCTTAATTACATAGCTGGGGCACTGCTACTTGTACTTACCTACGTGATGAAGGGGGTTTCAAAGTTCTGTGCAGGGACTTATGCAAACCTCTCAGTTATTCACCTTTTAACTTCATATGCACACAACCTACCAGCAGTCCTTGGCTGCTGTTTAAATCAGTCACTAATGATAGCTGACAGGCAGAATAACCTAAAACAATTTTCAAGGTAGGCATAGACTGATTTTTCTGTGAAAAGCCAGAGCTCAGTGGCTTCTATATTGCACTAGTCATGTCAGAAGTTGGGAAATATTTCCAAAATATGTGGTGCTGGCCCCTTGTTGGAGATAGACCTTGCGTCTGTCTGGTTCAGTATCCTATCTAACTAAATATCATTCCCATTCTCCTTCAACCAAGCAGCGAGACCGATGAGGGCTGGAGTATTAAGCCACTTGGGTGGCAACAGAGCTCTGCTAGAAATGAGTAGTTCTCCAGTGCCACTTGCTCAGTGATTCCATGGACTGAAGAATATTTGTGCTTAAGACATTTAAGTCACCAGCCCTTAGCAATCAGCAATGAAATATCTGTTCCATCAATCTCCACGAAGAACTACAAGTTACTGAAGACAGACGATGATCGGAAAATTATTAAGACTAAACAAGAGCTTGGTAAACACTGATTTACTTCATGCTTCGGAGAAGTTTCTGGAGAATTGCAGTTCACAATATGTATTTGCTGTTTTTAACAAAAAAAATCCAACTTCTGCCAAATGCACCATGCATTCCAATACACTACTGCTTTTCTGGGAATTTTGTCCGATGTGTTCTCTTACCTAGTACTTGTTCTGTCAACAATTGTGCATCACAAGGGAAGTGAACACTGTATTTCATGGTATCAGTTGAATTATGGGCTTGATTTCAAATTTTTGCTTGAATTTTTGCTATTGCTGTTCTAATACTGTTTATTCCTTAGTGCCTAGAAAACACTGTACAAGTCCTGACTTGACACCAGTTCAATAACATTAACTAGATGCTAGCAAAAGAAATGTATTTAATGGTTAAAAAAATTAATTTCCACCCTATCTGTTGTCCATATAGCACCAAAGGAAGCAATAGAAAAATATAAACTAGATTCCTCTGGCAGTGGGTTGTTTTACTTGGGTATACAATTTTTGACTTTATTCCTAAACTGCATGGGTGTAAGCATACATGCTAAACCAGAGGAGATGAATGAACCATTACAGACACATTCAAATCAAGTGTCAAAACAAGGAAAGAGGCAGAAATGACTGAAGTTCACTTGCTTCTTCCACTGACCCCTTCCAAATTTTCTACACTGTAGGACCTACAGAAACATGGCCAGGAGCTACCAGCACTTTCATGCATCTGTCCCCTATTACATTCCTTTATATATCCATCACTGAGCCACCCATTTTGCAAGGGGAAGAGCCACTAGATGAAGACTGCTCCAAGTTGGATTAAACTACAGTGAGTGGAAAAGCTAGGAAGTCTCATAGCCTCTTCCCTGTGCCCCTTTTCCAGGATCTCCCACTGTTTTCCCTGGAAGAAACAAGCCCCTTCTACACATTACATTTATGCTGCAATTAATATGCCATAAAATGGCAAACCAGCCATACAAATGTTCTACATAGAATGTATATATAATGTAAAAACATTTTTATGGTAGGCGTGTATGGTACCTTAAATTGAACATGTGGCAGGTACAAGGCTGGGGCCAACAATTAGTTGATTTTTTTTTTTGGCTCTGACCAGTCTTGAACCAGCCCTGGGTGCAATCCAAGCCAGGGCAGACAATCAGCTGCCCTGGACCTGTGGGCAACCAGCTTTCAACTTGCTAGTGCAAGGGTAGCCTGGGATCATGAAAAGTAGAAAGGGCAGAATTGAGATCTGATCCCCAGTCCCAAAATCACATCATCTTGCCCTGCACATATGACATGGAAGATAACACTTCAGCCAGAATTAAACAGCCTTCTCTTTATCATGGTCTTTACTGACAGTACATCAGCTCTCATGCATGCAGTTCCAGAACCCACACGAGTTCCCTGCGCTTGACGTGGTACGATCATACAGGTCAGAACAAGACGACTGATTTCTTTTATCCACTTGGAAACCAACAGAAGGTCACAATTTTGACTCACTTTTCCATGCACCTTGAAATGTACAAAGTATGAAGTAAGTGGCAGTAGCCAGAGAATCAAGTTTAATGGGCTGTTATACAGGAAGACTTTGTTTTAGTTTTGGTTCTAGTTTTAATTACAGGTACTGTATAAAATAGATAATGATTTTATTGATTATACATCATGATTCTTGTGTATTATAGCAGGTTACTAAGAAATACATAAGAATGTATGGTGGAAAGTGAACAATGTTTTACAGAATAATCTAAATCTAACAGATAGATCTATAATCTCACCACCAATTGGAAGTCATCACTGCTGTACCATCATCAGACTACAGAGCAACCACATAGTCACACACACTGGTATATCTGTGTATAATACAGTAAAAGCTTGAGGACTACGTTTCTCAAACAAGTTTTCCTCTTTAGGTTTCTTTTTGGCTTTTGTTTGTACAGTAATACCATTGGCTTGTTTGGACCATGCAAGGCATTATGCTGTGTGTTACTTCTTAAAAATAGAATTTGCCCTTGAAAAGGCATGAGGTTAAGATTTGCTATTAAACTTTCTGATAACAAAACGTGTAGGGTTTGTGTTGTTTCTTTCCAGTGAAATCCATTCTCTTAAATCAAAAGGGGTTGAGAGAAAAAAAAAAAATCATATTATTTCAGTGCTTTAAGCTACACACTTTTTAGTGTCCATAATCTACATAATACAACCTTTAGTGGTTAGCTGAAGAGGTTAGCAATGGCTGTAATTCAAAGTTACAGCACAATTCTGGGCTAACATTTAAAAAAAAAATTGGCACCTCTTATTTACACACATCGGTAGGAACGATTTCACTCTGGAACGCAGAATATGGCAGCTGGTTTAGAACTGCAAACCGTGTACATTGTCTACTGTCACAGGATTCAATAGCATACTTGAAAGGAAAATGCTGCTGTTTTGTTGAGTTGTAAGCAGTGTGCACATTTGCCTGTTATACAGAGAGATTTCCCATTAAAACAAACGTTAAAAGAAAATATACAACGGGAAACAAACTGCATATTCAGTAAAAGACCATTGGCTCCACTTGCCAAAACATATGATACTACAGTTTACAGTCTTTACAGCGGAGAGGGGATTCATCTTCATTCAAACATTTCATAGTGGCGCGTTTGCCTGACGCGAGGGACCATATCGATAAGCAGCCTGCAAAGGAAAGCACAAGTAACTTTAGTAGAGTTGCAGGGGGAGAGCACAGGAGGTGTCATCAGAGCTCATCATCTTTTCAGTGCTGATCTGAAGGACCCCAGCCTAGAGACGATACCAAGCTACAGGGAGGCATAGGGAGCAGGGAGTCTTCCTCCAAAGTCTGTGAAATACCAGGGGTGCTTCCCTGCAATTTAGAAAATTTAAATACAAAGAGCTAGCTAAAGCAAACCCCATAGCTCCGTGCTGGGATGGAGGGGTGCAAGAAGGAGGAAGTGCTGCAGCAGGAGTTACCTAGAAGAATTCTGGTTCAGCCAACGTCAGGGATCTCCCTGACAGCCTGGAAGGGGATCCAGTGTTTACTTCCCTCTGCTTCCTGTCAAGACTGCTTTGAAAAAACCCTTTACCATAGAGGAGACAAAATGGCAAGGGCAGTACTTCTCAGTACAATCAGCTTAGTCACCAGAATTTAAAAAAATATAGCTGTTGGGCCACATCTCAGCAAAGATCCTTTTTGCCAAGATCTACTGCCCAGCAATCTGGAGTCCATTCAAACGGCTCATAGGTCTCCACCTCCATTCCTTTTTTGGCTACAAAGTAGGAGATGGCGGGGAAAAGCCTACTTAAAAAAAACTTTAAAAACTTTAAAAAATGTTTGTAAAAAGGTTTGCAATTCTTTACAGCTGGACAATGAAATTGATGTCAAGATTTCATTTAATTTCAATAGGGTTGGAAAGAATTTTAGCTCTGATCTTTGGGTATACGCACTGATATATTCTGTAGAGTTAAGGGGGAGGCCAATATTAAGTTTGTTATTTAAATATAGTTCTAGTCTTAATTATGGAACAACTATGAGAGAGACCCTCCTATAATTTCACACCAAGATGGGCTTAGAAATGTCGTCAAAATATTTGGGAGGAAATTCTGCCCAGGAACTGTGGCAGTGTTTGAAGCATCTCAGATCCAGAGGATCACACATACAAAAGGGATTTTAGCTAAAATAAGATTTTTTTTTTTTTTAAACTTAAAATATTTTCCTTTTTTTTTCTTGACTTCCCTCTAATTCGTACAATATGGCCTAGCTCTTCTTTAAGCTCCCACCCACCCAACTCTGTCTTAGTGTTGACAGCTACTGTCTGAAGTTCAAAGATTTATTTCAGAGGAGTTATATAAAACTCTGACAAGGCTTATTATTCTTGAACAAACCATTGTCAAATTGGTATGTTGGGTACAGCAAATACCTACCAGCAGAATTTATGTTGAGTGAAATGTAATTAAATTACAGGAAAGGTCTCCATTTCATTTCTCTCTTCTATTTCCACTGCAAAATTAGGTTTGACATTGTTTTGTTCTTCAAATTCTAACAATTCATCAATTAAAAAAAAAGTCTGGGAATATTTTGTAGATGAATAAATAACCAAATATTCCAGAGAGACGAGCTGTTCATGGCATTGGTACAGAGACTCTCCTTTACCTCCTGGTTGTCTTTTTTGTAACTAGAGCCTCTGGATCAGATTCTCCTCTACCATTAGACACCTAAATGCCACTACCCCGCCCTGCTCAAGTCCTTTAAAATCCATTACTTGATCTACTTTTGTAACACAGTCATCCTTAGCCTCATAAAAAGAGCAGCAAAGAGGAAAAAGGGGAAAAATAGCAACAATTTTTCAGGAACTCCAGCAGAGTGGAATAGGATATCCCGTGGGTGTCTAAGTCCACGTAGGTGCCTAATAGGTAAAATAAGATCTTGCCCTCTGTTCTGCCTACCACATAACCTCACAGCGATATCATCACTTCTTGTCCTTGAAGCTAGCTAGCCTCCAGCTCACATCCACTTGTGCATGAGCTACTTACCAGAGAATTAACAACTTCTTTCACGCATCATTGACTCCAGTAATTTTACAAGACCTGTCATAATGTGATGAGAGCTGCCAAGCAACAAGGTCCAAGGGAACTGGTGAGCTACCAACAGTGTGCATCGGCGCACGCACTCCAGATGAAGAACACTTGTGTTCATTAAGATGCAAAACAGGTAACATGTACAATCATGTGTTGCATAAAGATGGTTGCTGACAGAACAGAAGGAAACATAAGAAGCTTAACTCACTTGATTCCATAGGTGAGTATTGTAAGTCCAATTAGGACTCCTATACTGCCATCCAGGTACCAGACAGAAGCATTGTGTTTAAAAACTTCTGCACTGAGAAGGATAGAAAATCCCATTACTCCTCCTACAAGAGAGTTGAAACCTACAAGAGAGGGAAAAAAACAAATCAGCGAAGGAACCGACCCTCTTGGCATCAGCTTTCACCATCGCAAATAAGAGGAGACTGCCTGAGAAGAGCTAGTCCAGTGCAGGTGAGGCTAGACGGCAAAGACACTGTAAGTTACCAGACAGTAGAGCCCAGTTAATGTTGTGTCACACTGAGGCAGTTTGTCCATTGCCAAAGTTACAGGTTACTAAGAGGCTTCATTTGGAAAAAGCAACTTATGAATGTTCACTGTCTCCCCCGTATTTCCCAGTGGCCATCATTGTTTTTCACAGCCAGAGTGAATAACTCCCCCCCCCTCACACCCCCAGCATACTACGGGTCACCATTTTTTCTCCTTTTCAGTCTTCTAGTCCGTGAGTCTTTCCTCAAGTTCAAAGCAGTGGTCAGAGTCATTCTATGTTCACAATGTTACACATCCACAAAATAAAACCAAAGGTGATCCATATCATTGGTGGCCTTGCTTAGTTCCTACTTAGTGTATTCTTTTCCCAAAAAGCTTTATTCCTTCTAGTTTCCACACTTGCAAAGTCACCTTTGTCTCTGACAAGTAAGCAAAATCTCTCTCCCGCTGCCATCACGGAAGAAGGTTCTTCTGAGTAAATGATATGCTCTGATACCTGTGCATCCCTCCTGTGGTCCAAGCATACCCTTAGGCTAGGGACAGACATCGCACATAAACTGGTTTAAGTGATCAGAAACTAGTTTAAACTTGTAACAGAACAGAGCTTCAGCGCACAGAAACCAGTTTGAGGATGGCTGAAACAAGTCTGAGATAAACCTGGTTGAATGGAATATCAGACTTAACTGTTTTGGGTCAAACCGGTTTATGCAATGGCTGCCCCAGACCCCTTCCTGGTTTAAGATATACCAGACTACCTCAGCATCCTGGCATGCTCTTTGGGCTCGGTGGGGCTCTCTGCTCCACAGCCGGGCTGCCCCTCAGGGACTGCAGGCTGCTCCCCCCGGCCCTGCAACCTCCCTGCTAAGCAGGAATTCCCCTCTCCCTTGCGGAGAGGTGTCTATGTATTAGCTAACAGACCACATGGTGGCTACGGTCCATGCTGAATCAACAGGTAGAATCAACAGGTAGCTGATAATGTCCTTCTGTTGTTTTCTTAATAGGGTGATAAATACTGAGTTAGGGGGGTGATAAACACTGATATCAATTCCCCGCTGGGCTAATCAGTGTGTCCTGCCAGGGCCTGGCCACGCCCCCCTCCTCCTGTCCAAGGGAAGGGAGGGCTGCTCTAGCACCCTCCAGCTTCTAGTCTGAGCCACTGCAGGCATGTGCAGGCATTTCTGGGATGTCTGCGCAGTTACAAAGTGATGCCTAGCCATGTTAGACTAACCTGCAAAGATTGAATCAATTCAGGTTCAGGCTTTTTGAATGTCTGTCCCTAACCTTAATAACAAGACTGCTCAAACTGTTTCCCATTTGTTCCCCAAATATATCATAAGGTCTTCATGCCTGTCACTCACAGGCTTAATAAAATTCTTTTACATTAAATTAAACTTTTGTCCTCTTTTAACCTGTAAGATTGCCCTTTTGAGTGCCTTTTGTTTCCTGGAGCCTTTATGTACAAGGTATCTATTCGCACAACTGCTGCTAGGCACAGATAACATTTTATAGATGCAGAACTGAGCTTATAAGGGCTAGAGCCAATAAGGGACATGGTCAGAACACCCCCAGCTGTGCTTTAAAGCAGTCAGCTCTGCTCAGTTCTTTGAAAGAAGAGCCTACACTCAGGAGAAGAATCCAGGTTGTAGGTCAGGATGGCAAATGCTGCTTGCATAATGCAAGTCCTGGTAACTAAATCTATTGGTCCATCAGCCATGATCACTGAGACCGCCAGTGGTGCCATCTTGTATAGCCTATTGTTCTCAACAAGAAACCTTCACATAGCTCAGCACTTAGACATACTCAAAGAACTTCACAATCATTGATTGACTGAAGCCTGCTCCTGTGACACTGGTAAGTGGAGTTATAACACCTATTTCATATATGGATAAACTGAAGCACAGAACTATAGGGATGGCTGGAGCCTCCTGAATCACTAAGTCCCCTGTTATTACAGGCAAACACATTACCTGGTTTGCACAAACAGATCAAATCAGAGGTATTATTTGCCCCAAGTTGCACAGAAGTTTAGGAAAGAACACAAGAATAGCTGCCTCCTGCTCCAACCCCTAAACTATCTCATCTCCTTTATTAGGGGCTTTGCAGGGAGGAATTTTGCATTCTCACAGTGAAGAACTGCAAGCTATGAACTTTTCCAGACTGGGCCTAGTTGTCCTTTTGAAATGATTATCCTGTCCCTCTCCCAGCAAATGCACTTGTTCCCTAACAGCCATTTTTTGGTGGTTTATCCAATCTAGCTTTAAAAGCCCCAAGAAAGGGGCTTTCACCTTTTCCATGCTGGAGATTATTCTACAGGCTAACACATCTCGAGTCTGGAAGTTCTTCTGACATTTTCATCCCATACTTTTAAATTTTACTCTCTCATTCTTCCAGCTGATGTTTCATTTTGCCCATCAAGTAGGACATGCTGTTATGTTCTCTTTGGGTCTGGCTGGAAGACAAAATTCCTTATTGTGAAAAAGTTTGAAGTTTTTTGCAATGGGAAAGGCAGGGACAATCATCTTAGTAGCTATAGCAAGTGTCGGAGGTTTGGGTTCACCTGTTCATCTTAGGTAAGTGCCTTAATCAATGAGCTATTGGTTGTTTTGGGGTGGGAAATTCTGTCTTTGACTGCGGGAATTTTCTGTCAAATCTAATGTTTCCATTAACTGTTTTGGTTTCAACAAATCAGCATTTTCTATCTCAAACCATCATTCTGTTGAAAAATGCTCTACTGGTTTTAGTTGTTTTTAACGTCCTATTAGCCTGATTGCATGTACTTCACTCTTTTAAGCTTTTAAACTCTTTTAAATCAATCCCTTCTCCTACATACTTTTTGTTGTTGCTCTCTGAGCTCTCTTGTATTTATCAGTATCCTTCTGGTAACATGCAGAGAAGAAAGAGAAACAGAATAATTGCTGAACTCTTGCATTCCTGACATTTCAGTAGTGAATATCATGGCCTTTGGGCTAATTGTTACTTGTTTACATTTACACTGATTTCTGCAAGACTATTTCCAAGGCAGGAACAGACTTCATTCATTTCCCGGTTCTAAATATTTGAGCATTTAAATACTATAGGAATACATTCGCATTGCCTTTCTCCCTCCAATTACTCATGCTCCTAAGACTTAGACTAAAATCCCACTCCACATGCTTTTGAGGATATGCTTAAAAATGGTATCTAGGTTACAAATGCTTGTGAGTGGAACAAGAAGCAGCCATCTGGAAATGACTGAGCCATTATTGAGTGTTTTCTCAAACTGTTGTACTCTGTGAGCTTAATATGACTTAAATTATGTGCCGAGAACTTTTAAGGTCAACCTGCCCTTGAATACCTGTAAGATGTCTAGTGGAAACTTTGCATGTATGATGGGACAATTGGGCCATTAGAATCTAACTAAAATTAAAATAATAGTCTATACTAGATAATATTCTGAAATGTGCTAATATATTTAGTAGGGTTGAAGTATTGTTGTAGCCAGGACAGGAAATATTCTTGCCCAGAAACATGTGAGAACCAAGTCACTCTGAATCCCAGCCCTACCCTCCAACGTATCTACTACACCCCCCAGCTTGGTGTCATCCACGAACTTGCTGAGGCTGCACTCCATCCCGTCTTCCAGACCACTAATGAAGATATTGAACAAAACCAGCCCCAGGACTGACTACTTGATACTGGCTGCTGACTAGACAGTGAGCCATTGAGCCCAACAATCTAGCCAGCTTTCTACCCATCTTACAGTCCATTCATCCAACCCATACTTCCTCAGCTCGATACCATGGGAGATGGTATCGAAAGCCTTGTTAAAGTCAAGATATATCATGTCCACTGCTTTCCCTGCATCCACAGGGCCAATTATCTCATCACAGAAAGCAATCAGGTTGGCCAGGTATGACTTGCCCTTGGTGAATACAAGCTTTGGTAGCTGGCGTGACAAGGCTCCCCCTCCCTCCTCTGGCTTCTGATTCTTGCCTCTACTCCTGGGTGGACTGAGGTGGAGCTGGGTGGTAGAAGGGTGTTGCACATGCAGGGGGGGAAATCCAGGCTGCCCATGCTGCAAAAGGAAAGCCATGCACACATACAAGTGAGTCTGTACTGTACTGTACGCACTGTACACACTATGCATGCATAGCAGTAAAAGGTCAAGCTTTCCAGGCTGTGCACATGGCAGAGGAGAGATGAGCTATGCACATGGTTGGGGGGGGAGGGAGCCACACTGCCCACATGGTAGGAGGGAGATGAACTGCCCGCACAGTACAGGGAATGCTGGGGTCTGTCCCCCCTCCCCCGCCCCCACCATCCAGAAGTGGGACTGTCCTGATCTAGCCTAATGCCCTGTACAGATGCAGGACTCCCTGTCCTTAAGCAACCTGACACAGACACCATCTGCCTCCTCTTGAAAATCTTTCACCTAGGTAATTTTTTTCATTGTCCAGTTAGGACACCTTTCCTGAAATTAAATCTAAATTTGTTTTGCTGCAGTTTAAACCCATTGCTTCATGTTCAACCTTCTGTGGCAAGGGGAAACAATTATTTAACCCACTCTTTACAGCAGCCTGCTGTCCCGTCTCCCCTTACGTCCCGCTCCTCCAGGCTAAACATACCTAGTTCTTTCAAATGCCTTCATATGACTTGTATTCAACCCTTTTAACATCTTTGACATTTGACTTAGTATCTTCTCCAGCTTCTTTACATCCTCCTTAAAATGTGGTGCCCAGAACTTGGCATAATACTGTTGCTGAGGGCTAACCAGCACTGAGCATAATGACACTATCACCTCCTATGTTTTGCATACAATTCTTCTGTTGATGCAGCAGATTGCATTTGCGTCATTTTTTTTTTCAGAAGCAGCAGC